TCATTTCCAAAAGAAATAGGGGCTTTGCGTCCCCAAAAGCTACAAAAGAAAAGCAAAAGGAGTACAAAAAAGGGGAAATGAAAAGCAGCTTCATCGGGCTCCAGGCACCTCCAGAACTTCGGCCGAGGGCGAATCAGCAATAAAAGGTTGGGAAGCCTCTGGAGCGGGTAGGAGAAGAACTTCGTCAGCAGGAACAGCTGGAACAGCTTGAGCAGCTTGAGCTTCAGGGGCAAGGTCGGGCGGAGCGTCCTCGGACAAGTCCACTATCACCGTTTCGGGAGCATCAGCCGAGGTTTGCATCGGTGTAGGGGCTTCATCCTCGGCAGCAACCTGTGCTTCTGCCTGCTCCATCTCTGCCGAGGGCACATACTTGTGCACTTGGAAGAGAGGGGAGTCTGACGGGACTCCAGCAGCCTGGAGCGCCTCGTCCCACCCTTTCTTGAAGAACTCTTTGCTATTTTCTTCAAGAGCGGGGAGCACTTCATCGGCGAACTCCTCCAGAAGTTGTTGCTCCGACTTCCGGTTCAGCTCCTCGGCTCGGATCCTATCTAGCTCCTGGGTAAGGGCCAGACAGCTTTCCTCGGAGCCCACTGCCCTCTCCTCCGCAGCCGAGAGCCGCTGCGTTTGCTCAGTAATTCTCCTCTCAGCATCGGCAAGTGCGGCACTTAGCTTCTCAGCGCCCAACTTGGCCGATTCAGCGTCCTTGAGGAGTTGCTCTATTTGGGCAGCCTGCCCCGCCAGGGTAGAATCCCTGGCAGCAACTTCTTCCGTTGCCCGAGCAAGGGCAGCTTCCGCTTCAGCCTTCTGATCCTTGGCCCTCTGAAGGTCCATCCTGGACGCGTGGTACCGGCCAGCTATGATAGAAATCTGCTGGGCAGCCTGTAAAAGAAGGAAAGAATGTTAAAACACAAAAGTAGAAAACAAGAGTGAAGGGATCGAAACGGGAATAAACTCACCACCAGGGAGTTCTGGATCATGGAGCGGAACAACACGTTGGTTGATCGCCCCCGATGAGCCTCCATGTCAGCCTCAAAATGCAATGTCTCACTCACTGCATAGGCGACATGGGGATCCTGCAGAATGGAATCATCGACCCTGATCACTCGGTTCATGTGATCAGTAGCCCGAGGATTCCACACCGCGGCCTCCACTGTGGATGGGAGGGAAGGAGTAGCCTGTTGTTGTTGCTGCTGCTGCTGTGTCGGGGCTGCTGTAGTTGCTGCTGTTGTCGAGTTTGCTGCTGCGGTTGCTGCGGTTGTGAGGGAGTAGAGGGTAATCCACGATCCCTCCCGCTTTGCTGCTGAGCGGGAGGCACCCTGGGTCCTCGGCTGAGGCCATCGTGCCGATGCTTCACCCTCCTCTCCTCCTCCACCTGAGGGTCCCGATCTCGCACCTGACCCCGATCAGGAACCCTTGATGATGGGGCAGAGCTGGTTCCTGCCGGAGTACCGCCGGCCGTCCCTCGACCTCTCCCGGCTGCGAGGGATTGCCTCTGCCTAAGAAACCCCAAATTGATGCGTGGGGCGTTGGACATCGCTTCCTCGAGAGCGTCTTCGGCGTCCAAAGATTGGAGAATTTGAAAATCGGGCCACAAGTCGCCTCCCGAAGTCCCCACCTCGGCGTCCGAAGGAGCAACGTCCTCTCTGACCCCGACTTCCTCAGCAACTCCCTCTACCTCTCCCTCTGAAGCCCGATCCGGGTCTTCCTCCAAGTTCTGCTCGACCTCTAGCCTCGCCGCCTGATCAAAGAGCTCTGACCACTGCGAAGGCTCGAAAGGTTGAGGGAGCTGTGAGAACTTCTTATACCCGGGGGTATAGTGCAGCAAATTATGGGCAGCTCGGCCAAATCCGTCGGCACCCGTGAAACTCCAAACCGTTGTTAAGTCGCCAAAATTGACCAGCGACCGAGGGGGTGGAGCTGTTTCCCGAGAAGGAATACCTGCACAACAAAAAAGATTGTCATAAACATGAGAAGTCCCAAGAAACAAATAAAAATACCCAAAGGAACCGACGTACTTGTCGTTCTCCATTCCCGAGGGCAAAATAGGTCATTGTACTCGGGACCGACACCCCTCTCCCAACATCCCTTGAAGATCAAGATGTCGTCCTTGTACCCCTTGTCCGAGTCAGGAAGATGGGTTACAAGGTACATAGAGGGGTCCCTGGCTTTGAGGTAGAAATGTTGGTGGGGCATGACTCTTAGGAGAGAGTAACAGAAAAGGAGGTCGTTGAGCCCAATATTCACCCCGAGGCGCCTATTGAGCTCTAGGACCCCCATAATTATCCGAAAGACGTTGAGGCAGCATTGCCCGGGGAAGAGACGGAAGCGAGACAGGAACTGAAGAAGCAGGGGGGGTAAAGGAAACCTAATGCCACCCTCTATGATGGCCTTGGTATAGAAAGGCATGGCATCCGTGGCCCCGAAGGTAGGAGAGTACAACAAAGGGTTAAAACCCACTACGTCCACGCTCGGAGGGATGCCATACTTCGCCCTGAACCTATCGATCTGTGCCTCGCCCGTCACCTTGTATTTCCCTGACCCCGAGGGACCAGCCGATGGATTCTCGGGAACAGGGCGACGACGAGGCATCTCTAAAAAGAAAGGGGAGGAAAAGGTGTTCTCTCTTGAAAACCTGAGGAAGTTCCCCGAGGGTTTAAATCAAGACGTACCGACCGGATGACACCACCGTTCAAATCGGAAAACAAGAAGGCTAGGAGGACGATAAAGAAGAAGGTTGTGAAACTCACCAGAAGACGTCGGAAACGGAGTTTTTCAGGAAAAACTTTGAAAACAACTCGCACCGGAAGGACCAGGAGTCAACAATGGGTTTACTGACTGTGATTTTTAAGAGAAGATGCTGTCGATGATGGCTGAGAAAACAAAAAACTCCGGCGAGCAGATCGGAAAAGGCGTATTCTGGGTCAGAGATCGGAATGGCAAAATGATAGAAACCGGAGAAGAACCCCCTTTATATAGGGGGGAAACTGTCATCATTGGGCGGGAGAACCAAAAAACAGCGCATTTAATGCGCACGACATCCCAAGACGGGGAAAGCTGCTCGAGGCCATAATGAAGGACGGATGGCAGTTGGAAAAACCCTTCGTCTCCTGACAACGCGTGTCCTCGGTGTCAGAAGATCGAAGGCTGGGGGGCAGTTGATGGGACTCTTCTGAAAAGCCTACGATGAAGACACGTGTCCTCGGGGTTTTAGCACAATGTTGCTCGGGTTCGAGCACCATCGGCAAGGCGTCCTCTCCCCGAGGTACCTCTCATATAGGATCACATATTCGGTACATTATACAAAGACATGTGTCCTCGGTCACCATGTACCTCGGGAACACACCACCCCTTGGTCCCCGAGGTGAGCCTTTCCTCGGCGCCGAGGGTCACTCCATCCTGGACGCTTCCTCTACTCCCGGATAAAGCTACTGACATACTGGACATCAGCCTATGCCAGTATGGGTTATTCATCATGACCTCTTCTTACACAAGTAATGTCAGAACGTGCTGGAATACCGACGTAACAGCCAATAAGGGATGGACGCGTGGCAAATAATGTCACATCCGAAGCAGACAAACCGCGTGCCGTTGCTGACACGCGACTTGGGAAAGCAAACAATTAATTGCACCCTTCTGTTGACGAGACCGCATTCAATGCGGTAAGGTTCGGATATGAAATGCAATAAATGCTCCTATTACAGAGCATTTATTGCATCCTTCCCGACAGGAGCATATTGTACCGTCGGCGTCCCGACAGACTCAGCATTGATTGTTCGGGACCCCGAGCAATCAATTAGAGAAGACATTCCTCATCAAATGATTACACACGCTACCTGTGCCTGATGATTACCTACTGACCACACTGACAGCAATCATGATCTCCTAAGGTATAAATACCCCTCCCAAAAGACAAAGCGGGTATGCAATCACAAACTCTCAACTACGAAATATCCTTCTCAAGTGTTTTCTCCTTCCTCTCTCTCATTCAAAGACTGACTAGACCGTCGGAGGGGATACGCCGGAAAACACTCCGGCGCCCTTCTAACTCGTTCTCTTTTGTCCCAGGAAATACCTTTCGCACGTACAGGATCGTTCCTTCTTTCCCAGGATCGTAAGCTGTTTCGAGCAGTGTGTTTGGCCACTCAATCGGCTCGCCCAAAGTTCACCAGGGGAGAGATCTGTTCCCAATATTTTATATATATCGTGCAGGATCAAGCCCGCACACTTCTCCCTAAAATTTGGCTCCAACATGCTATTTATTCCACTGTCTATTTCCCATAATCCACTTTTCACGTGCTGTTTCTGGCGAGTCACTTCGCCCTCGCTGTTTCTCGTGCCAATTTCCTCCTCACACACACACTCTCCCTCACAGAAGCTCCACAGCACCCGAATTTCGTCTTCATCAATCACAGAATTGTCATTGTCCACTCAAGTACGGAGTTATCTCTTTCTTTCTTTTTCTCTCTCTCACACACACACACACAGAAACTCTGTGTATTTATACTACAGAAAAATCCACCAAAAATCTACTGAAATCCCACCAAAAACCCACCGAAATCGCACTAAAAAACCCACCTAAAACCCATCCAAAAAATCCACCGAAAACCCATTAAAAAATCCACCAAAATTCTACTAAAAAACCCAATAAAATTTGTCTCTCGATTCCCACCGAAAATCGACTGAACCACTCTCTCTCAGTTTCAATGGATGTACAGGTACAATACGGTGGATCAAGGTCTTGTAAATGAGGAGGTTCCACCACTCAAAAACAAACACTACTTTTACTTTTTAAATATTTGTTTAAAAAAAGCCACAAAAAAAAGAAAAAGAACTTTTGAAAAGTTACTAAATGCCAATTTTTTTGTACACCTTTTTTTCTATAAAAATTCACTGCAGTGAATAAACATTTGGAGTCCGTAACCCTCCTTTATCACTGGTTCAGGTACAATTAGTGCTTCTCACTCTTCTCTTCACTTTCCCCATCTCTCTCTGTCTGCATGCTCCGGCGACGCGCATGATATCCAATTTCCTGTGAGTTCACTTCAGAGCGCCTTCTTTCTCAGGCGATCCTTCGTCATCGTTGGGCTACTAAAAGTGTCAGATTATCAGGTAACCTCTGTTCGGTCTGAGATTAACTTTCTTATTTTCGCCTCACTTCTCTGTCTATCTGATACAAACATATGTATGGCCGATCTTATACAACAGGAGAGAAGAAAAGACAGTGCGGTTAGAGAGAGAATCAAGTGTTTGTGTCTTTACTGTTAGAGAGAAGCTAGGTCTAGTATGTCATGGTGCGCCTTTTTTTGTATTTTTGTATAGGTATTTTGCTGGTGACATCTCATGTTTCCTTAATATGCTGATATTTAATCAAGGAATATACAGAGTGAATTTACAAATGCGATTAAATCTCATTTGTGAGTGAAAAATGAGTTTTGTGAACTAGGAATTTGATTCTCAGTTCATTCGCCTCTGATTTTATAGATGCTTTTGCTCATGTGTGTGTGAGATTGCCTGATTACTCTCATATTGCAAAAGACTATACCTAGTCTAGCTAAGCACTTTGAATTTTGTCCCCACATAGTTTTCGCCTCCATTTCTATCACAAGTTGAATCATTTAATTTTTTATTAATTTATAGCTCAACACAATTTTATTTTGGACACTTCATATATGAAAGTGTACAAATATTGATATTTTTTTGAGGTCATGTATTTTAAGAAAATTTTATCAATTACGTAATTAAAGAACTGGGAGGAAATAAAAATTATTATTTTATATGGTGGAATTTTTTGAGGGCTTGGATTTTATGTTGCACCGTTGGACATTGTGCATAACTATATATACGATAGTGTACATATGGTATTTTTTATTTTTTTTGAGGTCATGGATTTTGAGAAAATTGTGTCAAATTTTTTTTAAAAAAATAATGGGAGAAATTAATTTCAAATTATGTAATTAAAGAAAGAGAGGAAAGAAAAATTGTTATCTCATATAGGGGGATTGATTTTTTGGGCGTTTAGATTTCATGTTGCAATGTACTTTTGGACACGGATTATTGCTAGTGTGTGTGTGTGTATATATATATGACATTTCTATATTCCTCAACCCAGAAGCAAGCTGGCAAGCAAGTCACAAACATCAAATATTGAGTAGAAGAAGCCTCGTTCTTAAAAAACCTAAGCCGCTGGTCATGGACAAGAAGCCTATCCATCCTTTTCATAGCAATGAAGATGCAGTCGGTAGTCACTGTCTCTCTCTTTGTGCTTATGTGTTTATATGCACTCGAAACAAAAGATGTTTGTTGTAGTCTGAGCATTTTATTAGAGGTGTCTAAATGGTTTGTTTTAAATCTGGGCATAGTTTTTATGTTGTATGAACCTTTCTGATTATGTGCAGAAATTTCAAGAGTACTGAGAGAGGTTCCACCAGCTGACTACCTATTTCAAATCAAATCGTTTTCATTGCTTTCCAAGACAAAAGAGAAAAGATTTGAATCAAGTGACTTTGAATCAGGTGATTACAAATGGTGAGTTGACATAGAAATCCTTTCTTCTCTCTAGGGGAGGTCTTCTTACTCTTTGAAGGTCAGGATAAGTTTTCTCATTACGTGCTTTGCCTTGTTTGCAGGAAATTGTGTCTGTACCCGAATGGATATGAGAAGGAAAACGGGAAAGGACACATCTCTCTATACTTGGCAATATCGGATACAGATACATTACCTCTTGGTTGGGAGGTTAATGTCAAATTCGACTTGTTTGTGTATGATCATATCCGTGACAAGTACCTGACCATCCAAAGTAACATTTCTCAAAAATGCACATACTTGTTCTACATTCTTGTACTTGTAGTAGTAATAATAACTCTTTTTAAGCTGTCAGAGAGAGAGAGAGAGTATAGCTTAATTGTTTATGTGTATAACTGGCATCTATCATGTGTGTAGATGCTGATGGGAGAGTAAGACATTTCCACAGGTTTAAGACTGAGTTCGGTTTCGCAAAATTACTTTCCCTCGACACTTTCAAAGATGCTTCTAATGGATACCTCATTGATGACTCCTGTATGTTTGGAGCCGAGGTTTATGTCATTAAATCTACTGGCAGAGGAGAGTGTCTTTCTTTCGAGGAAACTTCTGTCGATTGTTACAATTGGGAGATCCAAAAATTTTCAGAAATAGAAGATGAGCAGTTGTTCTCTGAAACTTTCACCATTGGAAAGCAAAAATGGTTTGAGCCCTTGGAGTTCCTCAATTCTTATTCTGTATATACCATAACTAGATGGAAATATTTCTTATATGCCGCTTTCTTTATTGATCCAGGAAGATGGTTGTTTATCCCAAAGGAAATGGCTGTGAAGAGGGCAAAAGCTTATCCGTCTTTCTACGTATAGCTGATTGCGGATCCTTTCCAACAAAGCAAAAATTATATACAGAATTTAGCTTGCGAGTAAAAGATCAAGTCAATGACAATCACCACGAAATGAAATGTGAACATATGCCCTGCATTTCTAACATTTGTCCTTTTTCACAGATTCCCAAGTACAGCTGATGAACTGGGAAACTGGTTTGTCAAAATTTTCTTTTTAAAATTAGTTTGTTCACTAGGTCTAAAAATTTTCCTTTTAATTTTCTCTCACAGTTGATGGTTGGTTCTGTGACCCGAGCAAAGGCAGGGGTTTTGTAAAGGCAATTTCTCTTGCAGATCTCCATGACACAAGAAAGGGCTTCATAATACGAGATATTCTGGTTGTTGAAGTACAAATTCATGTGATGTCTGATTTGAAACAGTTCTCTTAACAAGAGGATTGTGCCTGTTGCTTTAGAAAACACTGTTTTGTATGGTTTATGCTTTGGAAGCCAATATTGTTCCTTCTTTATCTAAGTAGCTGGCTAGTAACAATTTTCCAACTATTCCAATTGTTACGTTATCTATCTGGATAATGTAAAGATATATTGGTACCCACTTTTGCTATATATAATCTATACTTTGCATTTTATATTTAAATGATTTGGTTAGGCAAAAAATTTATTCTTCCGTTTTCATATCATATATTACATGTAATTAAAATTCCAGAACAATGCATCTAAAGCATATAAAAAAACACCGTTAGAAGGGTGAAAAGAAGCTTGAAAATCTTGACTTACTAAAATCCCAAAAGAGTAACATAAGAAATTAATACTCAAAATATAAGGGTTGCATTTCGTACATTTGTTCTGGAAAATTGAAACAGAAATTGTAATATCCTGGTCTATTGTAGCCTGTCTCACGGTGTGCTTGACTGGCGAGTATATCGTCTCCACGGCTTTCCTTTTTTCGGGCTGTCTCTACTTTTCTTTTTTTGGGTTGTTCTTCAAGCCTTCGAGTGCTAATCTTTGCTTGGGTCGGCTTTGAGGCTCTATCCTGACTTTTCATTGGTTTCTCTTAGGGCCTTTATCGTTCGTATCGTGCATGCATCTTCAAGTAATCGGGGGAGGCGCAGAGTACCGAATGTCTCATCTAGCGTCTCCAAACGCATTTGAGTCTCGAAACCACATCCATTCAACGATATTCGACCAAGGCTTGAAAACCTCTTGAACATGGAACAGTATTTTAAAGCGGTTGTTCATGCCCCTGTTGACTACTAAGTCACAATGGCAACAATGTATCTCTCTGGGGATGCAAAGAATATTTAAAACCATTCTTGAACTATCACACGGATTCTGACCCAACTGCCATGATATGGTAAAAACAGAATGGAAGTAAAAAAAAAAACAATTCTATACGCAGACGTGAAAGCTCTATCAACAGAAGCATTCTAGTTTATCCTATTTTGATTAAGAGAGGAACAATTCCCTTATTTGAGAACCTCCATTTCCACACTATTCCTCCCCACTAAAAAAAGGATTGTTCTCTTTCACCTTTTGATGGATAAATGTTGAGAGAATGAAGGATGATCAACTACGTAATCTCTACTGCCTGTCCATTTAACTAGTGCTATATGTTTTCCACTGAGCTTTTAACAAGGATATAATCATCTTGACTGCACAACAAACTCAAAAACAAATGTTTTGTTTTGGTCCCATGGAAAAGTAAAGGGTCACCTAGGTGCTCGTATAAAAATAGTGTTGGCTACGTCAACATAAAGCAGAGATTTGATCTTTTATCTGGTGGTTCTTCTACCATCACAGGCTCTGCATTCTCTCTCCCCAGTCCCTAATTTGCTTGTTCATAGCACAGTAGTTTCCTCTTCTTCTTTTTTTTCTTTTTTTTATGATAGGTAGTATTACTGGAGAATAGGACGTCAAGATTCAAACAGGCAATTTTAAGATTTAAGAAAGGGAACGGTGGCTCTTGGATGTAAAGCCGAAAATGGATTGGGCTTCCTCAAAAGGTGGGATACAGATGGAGCTACAAGGTCTGCAATAAATGATTGGAGATTCACAGTCCAGGCCCTGTTAGCATGGGACAGTGTTCGTATGGAGAAAAACGTTGTCAGAGCGGTTTATAATTACAATTTTATCCAAATCATTTTTTTTTCCTTAAAATTATCACTAATTATTTACCTCACCGATCATTCTTTTGTCAGACTCACATGTTATCACTCATTTCTATCACATATTTAATTATTTATATATGTTCTCCCTAAAAATATCGTATCATTCGTTTCTATCATATATTTAATTATTTAATATTTGATTAATTTATAGTTAATATAATTTTTATTTTAAACATTATTCATATATAATAGTATATACATGTTAAAAAAATTTAATATAATGAGATCGATTTTTTGAACGTTCGAATTTTATATTTTATCGTACCTTCTGGCACAGATTATGACTAGTCCTATGTATGGTTTATCCTCCTACCGAATGGTTTTAATTCCACACCTCATTTCTCAATAGGAATGTCGGTGGATCGAAAAAATAGAGAGAATTGTTTAAATTCGTTCCGTTTAAATTAAAATGGACTATATGTACTGGACAATAAACGTATATAAACCAAAACTTATCCTTGCCCTGCTAATTCAAAACACCAAGCGAGACATAAAAATATATCTTTATTATTGTTATTGTTATTACTCAATTATGCGAAGATTACGTTGTTAACTTATTTCTTTGTTTTTTATTTTGATTATATCATATGATACAGACATATAATGATACAACTTGTACTTTAATTATTATATTTTTTTATTTTTTTTCTTAAAATCACATAAATTAATTGTTCTATGCGAGAGGGAAGGCAGGGCCAGGTGGCAGGGCATGGACTAGAATTTACTTGTATGGTGGGGGTAGGGATCAAAATTTATCCTGTTAACAAAGATGGATCAGGAATAAATGAACTGTTTTTTAAGTGGATACGGTGTAGAGACTCCTCCCCCGGTCTATTATCATTTCTATATCTCAACCATTAATTTTAAAGTTTATGTTTTCGATTTTGAACTAAAAAAATAATAAGACATAAAAAATTTAAACGTATAACATTTTTATTAAATAAAAAATATAAAAAATGACATTCACTCATTATTAGGAGTAATCACAATGATCACATTTTTGTTTTCTGGATTCTCATTATGTCTTTAGTTGGAGAGCATTTACAATAAGCTCTCCATTTGTATAAATTAAAATAGAGAATCTAATTTCATTATTTATATTTAAAGAGATAAACTCATTATATATTTTATCTTTATTGAAAAAAGATACACACGTTTCTTCTTTATTTGATGTTACTTACTGTGAATAAGTGTTATTCTAGTCCAATAGAAGGTCCTATTGGAATTGTATTAAAAAAAATTACTGTTGTATTTCAAAATTTACTTAAAAATATTCTCTAAAATTTATATAATAAAGTAGTTAAATTATTTATTTTAAACTTTTCACGACTTAAATCGTTTTTGATCCGATGGTCCTAATTGGACTTTTATTCGTTTTATAATTTTAAGACTTTCATCCCTCGTATAACTCTATCTATCTATCTTGTACGCTTTCATATTATTATTATTTTTTTGTTTTCACTGTGTTGTTTTTGTTATTATTTATTCTATAAAACAGATGAAACTATATGTTACGCAATTATTTATTCTATAAAATTAATTCAAAGTTTTTATATATCTAATGATATGTATTTTAACATTTGTTTCTTAATTTGTAAATAACACTTAATGTAAATAAAAAATAACACATTAATAATAAAAAATCAAATAATATTCAACATGAAAATGAACCTTAGATTATAAATTAATAAATAATTTTATAAAAAATTGACATTTAATTTTGTCCAATTTATATTCAACTTTGTCGAAATAATATGAAATTAATTTTTCCTGTTATCAAATTAATATTGAAATTTGTTTAGTCAATTTTTTGGAGTACTAAATTATATCAATTTTTAATTTTTTTTAGTACTAAATTTGGAGAAGGAGAATTGTAAAAATAATAAAAAATTTTGTGATGGAATTATTAATTTTCGTTAATGACAATGAAGAAGGGAGACAGAGGGGCCTCTGTGAAATGAATTCAAACCTCAAGGGATCTTCGTGTTATTTACAAATTGTCAAAAATGTGTCTGTATAATATTGTCAAAACTCAAGAAATGTCCATAATTTTTACTCTATTTTTTAATTACTATTATTTTATCTTAAAAACTTGAATTATTTTTTTTTAATAAAAACAGTTATTGGTTAGGAAGGTTTGTTAGTAACCAAAAAAGAAATGTGTGAGTTTTTTTTTTGTGTATTAAATAGTGATAGTGATAATCAATTCATGAGTTTTATAAATGAGTAAGATTTGGTTGATTTTATTTATCACTTAAATATTGTGAATTTAATTGTGTTATGTTAGTTTTTTTTTTTTATTTTGCTTGAGGTATTTGTTACATAGGGATAGAGCGGATTGGAAATATGGTGGTTGAGTTTATAATTATGTTGTGTTATTAGATTAAGTGGTAGTAGAGGTGATAAATTCGTGAGTCTTATAAATTAGTAAAATTTTATTTATTGCTTAAAGATTATAAACATTAATGAGTTATGTTAGTATTTTTTTTTCAGATGTATTTGTGTAGATGATGTTGTTTTAAAGAGTTTTTATATATTTTTATAATAGTACCATTAATATGTAAGATATGTGACAATATATTTCAAGTCATTTTAAAAGAAGAATTGATATGAATATTTTTAGGTCATTTGATACGAATATTTTTAGATCATTCTTTTTAAACTTGAGCAACTATTTTAAATTTTTTTATTTATTATATAATATTTTCTAAAACAAATAATAACTAATATAAAATATCGGTGATAGTCCGGACAAAAACTCTTGATCCAATCGTGTGGCTTTCCCGCTGACGATTGACTCCTTTCTTCTTTTTCTTTTCTTTTGATCGAGGATCGATTCACTTCGGGTGACAATTTTTAACATAAAACAAAAATACAATTTAAAATTGATATAAAATTAACGGGTTAAAATTGATTATTTTTTAACACAAATATGTATATAACACTGACTCGTTAGCACGAATAATAAATAAATTAAGTTAGTGTCAAACACGAATAATACGAAATTGATACATTTAACACATTTAAATAGTATTATAATAATAAAATTTTATTTTTTATTATATTTTATTAAATAATGACTTAATTCTTATAAAAATATATATAATTTATTCTTTTTTATTATTATATTTATTAAATTAATTAGAAAAAATTTGAGCATAGATTCAGTAATAATAAAACCATGACAAGCCGATTTAATGGACTTGACTACAGAAGCTTGAGGTTGTACTTCGATGGAGGAATGAGAAAAGGTACAGACAGCCAGCCGCCTAAAATTTATTACTTCAGCCCTTTCGTTTCCCAAGAGTTAATATTTTTTAGAGAAAGATTACAACATTTTAAGAATAAATTATAATTTTAAATAGTATGCTCGATCATAAAAATTAAAATTGACAACAAAAATTCACGATCGATTACGAGTGTCATGATCAATCATTATCTTTT